GTTCCTTTCCCATTGATCTGCCTTTTGGCCTCCCTGGCCCATCTGTCAGGCTGTTGCAGAGAAGTGGGGGGCACATAGTTCACCAGGGCCAGCGTGTGAGTTTTCCCTTTGCCCAGCTCTTACAGGAGCATCCTGATGGGCTCATGTTTTTTTCTCTTAATAGGGTTTGCTTGTGTGATAGAAAGACGAGACAGAGGATCAAAGGGTTGAAAGCCATTGCAGGGACCCAAAATGAACACCATATAGAAACTTCAGGAAAAATACAGATCAGGTACTTGGGAACTTTATGAAACCTAAGACCTGATCAAGTTGCCTGGGAAAACTTGTAGAGATGGAGCAGAGCTTTAAGAGACAATAATGAGGTGAGTTTCCAACACAGAGATGTGTAGGACTTCGGGAGTGAACAGTATGTGGACATAGGTTTCTAAATGGGAATCAAGATGGGTTTCTCTCCGTTGTCTTGGAAACATGACCCAAAGCTAAGGAGGAGACATTCAGCAGAATGATAAAGATTTCAACTTTCTCAGGTGTTATGGAGTCCCATCTAACTGATTTGTGGACTTAAATAACTAACTCCTCAATAAAAAGTGATTCCTCTATCTTTTTTAATTCACTCAACTGTAAACAGCCATTTGACATTAAGGTTATATTAAGGTTATAGAATCTTTAATTTTGTATTAGTAAATGTATTAGGGTTGATGATATTGGTTGATAACATATAAAATTTAGGTGTACTACTTTATAACACAACATCTATATTGTGCACTTTTGTAGAATCTTAATATTAAAAATGGAATAAAGTAAATCAATCAGCAGACAGGCAGAACCACTGTAAAATTCTACACCCATTTCCTAGTTGCTCCCAGGGACTTGATAGATTGTTCTACCTTACAAGGCAGAATGGTTGGACTTCCGGTCAAGATGGCAGCATAGGCAGACATGGCTCACCTCTGCACAACCTCATCAAAATTACAACTAAAATAGAGAGCAACCATCACTCAGGAACAAGGCAGAATGGTTGGAACGTCTAGCCAGCTGTGTAAGCTTCCCATTAGTGGTTCTTAAATTTTCGTTTGCATGAGAAATTATTACATCAGGTTGTTGATGCAAATGATGTAGCTTATATTTACAGGCAATTTTGACAGCACTGGATGCAATTTTACTTCCAGCAGCTCTGATGAGATGTTGGTCATAGACAGGATGCGTTCAGCTGGCAGCCTTGTGTGACAGGCTTGCCTGCCCTGCTGGTGTCACGGTGATCAGGGTGTGCTTCCTGCCCTTAAAGTAATCCCACTATAATGGGGATAAGTCACCCAGAAGAAGCGAGAGCCACAAGTGTGGCGCTGGGGAAGCCAAGCACACCATCTTTGTCATGCCTGGCCAAGCACGGACCTGCATGTTCATGTTTCCTGGGGAGCCTGATAAGACCATTTGTCTTGGGTCAAGGTCAGTGATGGGTGGCCCAGAGGACTTGGTAGCTCGTCACGTAGCCGGAGGATGATTGTGCTTTCAGAGGACATTTGGCAGTGTCTGCAAATGTTCCTGGCTGTCACAGCTGAGAGGGCTATTGATCCCCAGCGGGTAGAGGCCAGAGATGCTGCTAACCGTCCCACAGTGCACAGGACTGCCCTACAACAAAGGACCGTGCCCCACCCCCCAGTGCCAGCTGTGTCAAGGGTGAGAAAACCTGTGCTGGAAACGTCCTTCCCTCAATTTCATCAGAAGTAACAGTGACTGTATATAGAAGCCTGGAGAGCTCACAGCTCCCTTGCGGAAATATAAATTCAGGAGGATAACATGTGGACTTTGAGGACAGCGATGTTAGACCGGATTATTCTTTCTGCAGCTGTGCACCTCACTGCATCCTGTGGGGGCCTGGCGGCACCCTGTGCATGCTGTGTGTTAACCCCAGGAAAGGTGAGCAGGTCTAATTGGACTTGGTTAAGTGAGCTCCCAAGGGATGCCCCAGCCTCTCCGCTCTGAAAGGCTGCTTTGTCCACAGCTCCCATGTATTCTCCATGGAGACCCATGGAGAACCACAGTATTGTATTCTCACCTGTTCAACAGGTTTTGTCTGAATAGCCTTTGAGAAATCAATACCAGTTAAAGAGGAAGAAAAGCACACTTGGCCCTTGATTCCTGGGAGGCTGGATGACCCCTTTCCGTGTAATTCTATACTGGTTTGTGTGGAGTCGGTAGGAAGGTGCTCCAAATGCATTTTCAATTTTAGTATTTATTCTCTTGACCCTCAAGATCGTGTGCTTTTTGTTTTAAACTGTGTTACCTGATAGTCACAATGCGACTGTTTTTGCATCAGAACCTCCCTTCTTATTCTTATTCCAGCATGTGTAATTGAATCTGGCTTGGGGTTGAAGTGGCATGGTACAGATATAATACATTGTCCTTAGAACTCTCAAGTGGATAAAATATTATGCAGACTATGAAGAGGAAGCCCCAGGCGCTGATCGCCTGCCTGTATTTGCACACATGAGGCTCCATAATTGTTTAACCTGCCTGGTGTTGAATAGTCAATGATTCTCAAGTTTTGGGAATTGCCACCAAAACAGCAATTGGCATTGTGAAGGTTTAGTTAATAACTATTTCTTGAGGAAACATGCCTGATAAGTAAAATTACTCAAAAAGAATCCACAGTTTCAAGGCTTTTGGTGCAGTTGGCAAAAAGGCAATTAGTACCAGTGTGTACTCTGAATAGATGTCCATAGATGTGAGCTTTCTTCTTTAGAAGTTGCAACCAAGGGTAGAGGGTGCACGGGGTCGAGAGTACCAGGTATGAACCTGCAACGTTGTGACCCAATGACTATCAGAAATTATTACCATTGCCCTTACTTCCTTGGCTTTGGCCAGTCTCCTGGTTCAGGAACATACCAGACAGGCTCCTGCCTCAGGGCCTTTGCACTTGCTGTTCCCGTGGCTTGTGACATGGTTTCCCCAGATGTCTGCCCACATGGCTTCCCTCCGCCCCTCCCCCGGGTCTTGACTCACATCCCGCGTTCTCTGTGCCACTTTCCCTGGCTTTCCAATTTACAATTGCACCCTGGCCCCTTCCACAGAGATACACTCATGTGCTTCAGGTTCTCCTCGCTTGCTCCATTGCTCTCCATATCCTCTGTGACAGCTAACATCTTGGGTCCCCAGCGTTGAGGACAAGCACAGAGTGGGGCTCAGTAATCCTGTGTTGAGTGAGTGGATTTGTGCTCACCGGTTAGCCCTCATTATCCACCCAGCAGGCCTCCCTTCGTCCTGGACCAGAGGAGCAGCCGTTTTGCTGGGGTTCATTTCCTTTACTTGTCAGCTCTGGCAAAGTGAGTGATGTAGGTAGCAGCCCGCGTTGTCGGGGCTGCCATTCTTAGCTGTGTCTCTATTGTCTCATTAATGTCCAGCTGCCACTGAGGTGGGGCCTGACCAGGCCTCCTCTAGTCTGATAAAGATCCCCGTGCACATGTTTGATTAGAATCTTCATGCAGAGATCAATGTGTAAAACAAGCTGACCAAGCACCCGATAGAAGACGGAGCAGAGAATTTGGACAGTTCACAGAAAAGTGGACATGGGCATTTGCCTTTTCAAGTTCAACCTCACTCACTATAAGAGAAACACAGGTTAAAAGCACACTGAGACCTATTTTCTTTTCAAAGCATCGGGCGTGCTAAAGTTCAACCTGTTGTTGAGGCTGTGTGTCAGTAGGCAGCCTCAGCTGCTGCTAGAGGGAAGGCGGATGGGCACAGCTCCCGTGGAGCGGTATTCGGGAATGGCCGTCAGAGTTTAAAACTCCCTGAGCCCTCTGACCCAGCAATTTCACGTTAGTGAATCTATCATCAGGATGTGTGTGCACGTGTGCGAAGTGGGGTGCGTGTAAGGTGATTGACCGCAGGCTTGTTTGTAACAGCCGGAGGGAAGGGATCCCAGAGGGGCCCACCGTGGAGCACAGCTAGGATATTCCCATTCAAAGAGCTACAGTGCCGCTGGGAAAGGAAGCAGATCGCAATCTTTGTACCAATATGGAAAGATGTAGAAGATGCACGAGATGAAAAAAAGAACAGGGTAGAGAATGCTGCCTTTGATATAAAGGGGAAAATGCACCATATTTTTGCATTTGCCTTGTGTACCTGAAGAAATTCTAGAGGAATGCAGAAGAGACTAGGAACAGTGGATATAGCTGGAGGGAAGGAGGGGTCCAAGTGGACGCTGGGTAGGTGGGCCCCTTTGAGAGGAGGGAGATTCTGCTTTGCGTATCATCACACACACACAGTCATGTTTTGAATCATGTGAGTGTTTCGCCTGCTCAAAAATATTAAGTTAAAAAATCCATCTGAAAAGAGGCGGGCTAGTCCGAGGGAAGATCGTCTCGCCTACTTTGTACCAGCGGTTCTGGTGACTCAGATGAGAATCTGAGGTCTCTTCCCAGTGCTGGGCCCTTGTGCCCCCTTGAAGGTGCATTGTGTGAACTGGCCTTGGGGAGGGGCATGTGTGCGCCTGTGTGTGAACCTGGGGGCATTGCTCCTTCCTTGTGACATCCTGGTTGCTATAGTAGGGAGCTCTGTTTGTGACCCACAGAAAACACTTTAAAGAAACGCTGTTTCCTGTCTATGACTTCCTGGGCAATCTGTCCTTCCGGAGACTGTTTGAACGCGAGAGGTTTCCGCGCTTTTCTGGACAGAGCGAGCCCAGCTCACTCAGACCCCGCGCACGCTGGGAACAGAACCCGTGGTGAGGGGCACCTTGCTTTCCCCTGAAGAGTCAGGAAGCTGCCCCTCTCAGGGCCCCGTCTCCCCGCAGCTTGGACTCTAGAGTGGTGGCACCTTCCCCTCCTCTGCCTTGTGTCCTCCGGAGCAGCTGGTGGTGCACTTGGCGCCCTGTGCCTTCTGTGCCCAGAGCCGTTTCTTATACCTAAACCACCAGCGAAAACAGGAAGTGATGCAGCAGAATCCGCCTTGCATGTGCACTGAGCAACTTTCTTTCTCTTTTTGTCATTCTTCACCAGGGATAGACACGTGTGGCTGTCTACGCTGCGGGAGCCCAGGTGCACCGGCTTCGGACTTTCTCCAGGCTCACAATGCCGCCGCCCGCGGACATCGTCAAGGTGGCCATAGAATGGCCGGGCGCGTACCCCAAACTCATGGAAATCGATCAGGTCGGTAATGCCCGGAGCAGTGCGGGGGTTGTTCTCGGTTTCCTTTCTGTTCTGGAATTTTTGCGGACTTTGGATGGCTCTTTTTTCCCCTGTTCGTTCTCGGCTGCATTGAAAAACCTGTGTAGCGATAGTTGCAATGTAGATTGATTTCTGTGCCCCACGCCGTGGCCATGCATGGGGCTTTTCACTCCTCTGGCATCTCCTTCGCTGGTGTCGATGCAGGGCTGTGTTTGAAGCTGTGACGGAGGCAGGGGGCACCGAGTGGACGGCTGGCTCCAGGCAGTTGACTCAGTAGGGGCCATCCCAGCCCTGCCTGGCAGGGACTCATGAATATGGGCAGATTGTTTTATCATAGGCAACACAGAACTTCAGTTTTTGAATCATGTTTCTCTTCCAATTTTTTAGAAGCAGCCAAGTGCATTATATTAACAGCTTGATAATGAAATTAGTGTGGTGAGTGGGTCTCAGCCTTGGATCTCAGACACTTATAATTTTATGATTAGTGTGAAATGCACTGTGAGTCTAGTGTATTGCCTGGCATGTATCAACTGCTCAGGAAATGTGTGCTGGATGGAAAACTATCAAGATGATGTTAAAAATGATTTTACCTCTTAAGGCATCCCCTAAGTTGGATCCTGACGCTTTTTCGGACAGCTGGCATTGACTGTTTGTTTACAGGTTTTGTCTCTGGAAGTTTCCTTTGTCCTTCTAGAGTAAATGATTTAAATAAAAAAGGGTTGAGACTTAATACACAGTCAAGTGTTTCATAGAGCAACTAACAGGATGCTAGATGGCTTTCTACCTTTTCAGAGTTAGGGCACACTATGGAACTTCACTTTTTATTTGTGTTTTTGATACTATTTTATGATTATGATCTACCGGTGTATTGTTTTATTTTTTTCCCCCCCAGTTAGATTTTATTAGCTAGTTGAAGATTATATGGTATTGTGTGAATCCGAATATCTTGTTAAAAGAAAGTATAAGCATCAAGTCAGAGTTAGTTGGGCTTGAGCATGAACATAAAAGGAAGGGTACATGTTGAGGATTATTGTCAAAGAAGGTGCCATCAGAGCGGCACATTGTTGCCATTATAAATGCTCTCTGCGGTGGTTTGTGGGACTCTGGAAGCCGCCCACGCAGGTAGAGAAGCCCGCCCAGGAGTTTTACATACATTTGTGCCGGGCAACATCTGTTTGTCCCTTTTGCGGGCTGTTTGAGAGAGGATGCCGGGTGAATTTTATTTTAAAATATGCCTGGGACTGCTTGGTGCAGACAGAACACAGTTAGGATGAGGCGTGTCTATGACCTATGAGCACCACGCTTCACGGAGCCAGAAGGCGGCCTCCGGGCCGGCGCGGTGCCACGGCACCATGGGCCCAGGTGTCTCTGTCTCGTTGCTCCGCCTCCTCCGTGGGGCTGGGGACCTGTTGCTCGGGCATCACCTGGGAGCTCCTGAGACACGCGGGGCCCTCGGCCCCACCCCAGACCCAGAAGCTGCGTTTTCACCAGCTCCCCTGGGGATTCCTGTGTATAGCTCCGTCTGAGGGGGGCTGAGCTGGGCACCTGGTACCCAAGTCTGAGTTCCCGTGTGAACCACCTCGGGCCCCATCCCAAGAGAGCCCCAGTCAGGGGTTCGGGGGAACGATTTCTTTCGGATTCCGCTGGGGACCGGAGTGTTGGGGCACACCTGTGTTAAGAGAGTGGGTGGCTCCTGACACAAACTCTTGGGGCCTGTGGACTCAGTGTCCTGTCCCTGCCTCTGGGCATGGTCTTTGTGTGTATGTCAATAATGAAAACAAATATATATTTAAAAATATTTTGGAGCAATTTTAGGTGTGCAGACAAACTGCCAAGATTGTAGAGAGTTTCCACATACCGTTCACTCAAGTTCCCCTAACGTTAATGTCTTAACGTGACAGCGGTACATGTGCCAAAACTAAGAAATTAACAATACATAAGTGGTCACAAGGCTACAAACTTTAGTTGGATTTCACCGGTTTTTCCACTAATGTCCATTTTTTTGGTTCCCCTGATGGAGGGCTGTCAGCCACATTGCCATTCCATTGTCACGTTCCCTCAGACCCCTCTAGGCTCCAGCGCTTTCTCAGTCTTTCCTTATTTTCCATGGCCTGATAGTTTTGAAGAGTAACTTTATTTTCATACACTTTCAAACAGAGAAATGGCAAGAATAGTACAAAGAACCCCTGTCTCCCTTTTATCTGGAGTCACGAATTATTATTTTCCTCCATTTGCTTGATTTGTTTTCTCTATTTTCTCTCTCTCTCTCTACTATATATCCTTTCTCTGAACCAGTTGAGGGTGATTTAAGAGTAATTATCGCTGTTCCCTCTAATACTCAGTGTGTCTTTCCTAAGGTCAAAATCATTCTTACATAACTACAGTCTCTTTATAAAAACCAGGAAACTGAGCTAGTTCAACACTGTCATCTCATTCAAAGTCCATAGTCCATATTCTGTTTTATCAGTTCTCCCCGCAGGCCCTTCATTGGTATTGTCCCCACAGCGCCTGCCGAGATCCTGTGTTATGTTTACTGTCATGTCTTTCTGGTCTCTGCTGATCTGGACCGGCTCCTCAGTCCGTCCTTCTGTGACCTTGAGGATTTTGTCACAGCAGTGATTTTGTAGGATGCCCTTTAGTTGGGGCTTCTCTGAGGTTTCTCTGAGGATTTGCCTTTTTGGCAGAAAAACCAGAGAGATGATGCTGCATCCCACTTGGGTTGCCACATAGTGTCAGGAGGCTGGCGATGTCACCTGGTCATTCCTGGAGATGATGCTGGTGTTACAAATGCAGATCCCGAGATCCATGGAAATTGGGTATGTGCTGGTCAGTGAGAGCAGGACACAAAGCTTCCCTCACTCTGGAGCCTGAACTTTTCAACAGTTGGCTGAATTGTTGGCCTCCTGGGGATGCCACAGGGGGACCCACACAAAGCGTGAGACACCCGGCCCCTTCTTGTCCAGCAGCTGCTGAAGTTGGAGTGACTCATGGCAGGGCTGGTGGCAGGTGGCCTTTCTTGATTGAGCCAGAAGTTGGCACAAGAACTGGAAATGTGCTTTCACAGGCAGTGAAGACTTGAGCAATGACGGTTACTTGGGTTTTCTCCTTATCTTTTACCTTGTTCAGTAAGGGTCGTGTGGCCTGCCTCTCTCCCCCTGCACGTCACCTTTGTTTAGAAAGCTCTCGCTCCGTTTTCACCTGGGTAGCACCTAACGCACTGGAAGGCATTTCTGGAAGGTGAGGCAGGCACTGCCGCCGCCCCGCGTCGCCTGGAACCTCCGCCATCCCTCCGCTTCTGACGTCGTTCTGCCAGAGTCTATCAGCTTCCACCCGAGCGTGCCCAAGAGTCCCCCTGGGGGTTGCGACAAATGCATATGCCTGGCCCAGCTGCAGAGATTTTGATTCTGCCACCCGGAGGTGCAGCCTCTACTCTTGTCTGTGATGAGCAGTGGTGACCCCATGCAGGTGTCCCACCTCGCAAGACGCGGGGGCCCGTGAGAAACAGCAGCCTGTGAGCTGCTTCGTGCTCACCGTGTGTCTCTCTGGCACCTGGTGAACAGTCCTTACTTAAGAAGCGGCGATTTAATTAATGAGGGAGTAGGAGAGGGAGCTTCCTGGGGTGGGGGGACCCGCTCTGCTCAGCCATCCTCTAGCAGTGCTTGTTGGGTTCAAGGGGCATCTGCTCTGAGAGGACTGGTTTATCTCCCTTCTAAATTTTTGGGACAGTCTGTAAGAGAAGCGCTAGGAGCTCCTCCCCAGTGGAGTTGACTGAGTTGCTGGAGAGTCGTCAGCTCGCTGGCTCGGGGCTCCTGCTCCGGCCTTCCCGGTCTGTCGCAAGGCTTCGGCCTGGGGACTGCCTGAGGCTGCGGGTACCCCAGCCTGCCAGGCGCCCCCTCCCCTGTGCTCGTTAAACTTGCTCTTCCCTGAGCAGCGTGTATCGCCATCAACAGTGTAGAACGCCCGGCGCTTTGACGACAGGCATCGGCGGAGAGGGAGCGTGGCCTGGCAGACACAGGACAGGCCCCGGGACACTGAGAGGGGGTGGGAGCCTCTCTGAGCCTCGGGGTCTTCGTCTGGTACAGTCTCGGTAATAATTTGCCACTTTCATGATTGTCGTGAGTGTTCAAGGAAATGTGTGAAAAGAATGTAGGACGTTGTCTGGCTCAGAGTAAATACTCGATAAAGACAGCCATTTTTGCTGCTAGTTTAAGCAAGTTCTCATTGGGTTACAAAAGGAGATGCTATGGTTTTCTTTTTCACCTTTGTGAAATTTCCCTCCTTTCTCCTTCTTTGTCTGCCTAATTTTTTTTTTTTTTATTGATTTTAGAGGGGAGGGGAGAGAGACAGAGATATAGAGAGAGAGATTAGTTGTTCCACTTATTTATGCATTCCTTGGTTGATTCTTGTATGTGCCCTGACCAGGGATTGAACCCACAGCCTTGCACATCAGGCCAATGCTCTCACCTATTGAGCTACCTGGCCAGACTTTTTAAATGTTTAGGAAGGAGAGAAAATTAAAGGGCCCATGGGAGGGAGGCATCCCCTCGCAATAAAGGAACCTGCTAATGGGACGTGCACAGTCTGTGCTGTGGAATGTTCACTGGCTCCCCAGCACTGCCCCTCGATATTTCCTCACATCGCTTGGCTGCTCCCCGGCAGTTCTGGGCAGCAGCTCTCCTGTTCTTCAAGCCTCTGTTTCCCTCTGTCCCGGCCCTCACACACATTATTTTCGTGGTGGACAGAAAGCCACCACGTCTACCTGCGCCTCAGAACCGCCTGCTTCTGTATTCGCGTGCTTCCACAGAGACAGTGATGCCTTTGCCTCCTGCCCCCCTGCCTCCCTCCTCCCCCCTGCCTCCCTCCTCCACAGCCAGCAGAGGAGGCCCTTCAGCCCGTCCCACCCCAGCCCCCGCCTCTGCTGCTGCACCTGCGTGTTACCCAGCCTTTCCCCTGACCTGAGGTTTTGCCCCGTCAATGTCCTG